AAGCTTTTACATTTGTTCTGCTGGTAAATTTCCCTACTCTTTCATAAATCCTTGGTGCATAAAGACAAAAACCTGTTCTGTCCCCCACCTTTATTGTCTGGTAACCGTCCACCACATCGCTAACCTGCACTGTTACCCACTCCTTTAATTTGGGTTTTTATAATTTCCCCTACAACTGAACCTCCCATTCCCCCTCCCTCAATTTAGTTTAAAGCCCTTTGCACAACCCTAGTTATTCAATTTGTTAGGACTCTGGTCCCAGCATGATTCGGATGAAGATTGTCCCATCAGAACAGGTCCCATTTTCCCCAGTACTGGTGCCAATGTCCCATGAATTTGAACGCATTTCTCCCACACCAAACTTTAAGCCACGTGTTTACCTGATTAATCTTATTGACCCTGTGCCAATTAGCTTATCGCTCAGGTAGTAATCCAGAGATTATTACCTTTATGGTTCTGCTTTTTAACTTAGCTCCTAGCAGTTCATACTCCCTTAGCAGAACTTCTGTCCCTGTTTCATTATGTCATTGGTACCTACGTGAACCACGACAACTGGATCCTTATCCCCTCCCCCTCCCCACTCCAAGTTCCTCTGCAACCCAGAAGAGATATCCCAAACCCAAGCACCAGGTCAGCAACACAGCCTTCGGAACTCTCAGTCCTGGTCATGGAGGACAGTGTCTATGCCCCTCTTTAAGGACAAAGTTGATTGTTCATGATCCAATTGAGGGAGTTGGATTATCTTGGGAGTTTTGTGTTGGTTGGTGCGTTATTCTGTGACATTCCATGATAGAGAGTGTGATTTCAGAAGGTCATTCTCTGACAGACTTCACTGTGAATCATGTGATTTGTCCCATGTAGTTTATATCAAGGAGAGTGAAGTGGAAGTCACCAAAGTCCCAGAAAAACAGAGCTCACTCTCTCCTCCAGAACCACCTCCTCCTCCAGAATCTCCTCCTCCTCCAGAACCTTGCCCTCCTTCTGAAAAACCACATCCTCCAGAACCTCTCCTCCATTTGTTCTTGTTAGAGTGAAGGGTAAGGCTGGTAAGATTAAGGAACAATGGGTGAATAAAGATATTGAGGTTCTAGTCAAGAATAAAAGAGAATCTTATTTTTAGATACAGGCAACTTAGTTCAATTGAATCTCTTAATCAATATAAAGAGTATAGGGGCATTCTTAAGAGAGAAATCAGGAAGGCAAAGAGGGGATATGAAATACCATGGGCAGATAGGGTTGAGGATAATCCAAAGGGGTTCTATAAATACGTTAAGAGCAAGAGGGTAACTAGAGAGAGGGTTGGGCCTCTTAAAGATCAAGGAGATCATCTTTGTGTTGAACCCCAGGAGATGGGCGAGATACTAACTGAATATTTCGCGTCAGTTTTTACTGTGGAGAAAGAAGTATAGCCTAGAGAATGTAGAGAAATAAACTGTGATGTTTTAAAAACAGTTCACATTACAGAAGAGGAGGTTTGGGAGGTCTTGGAGAATGTAAAGGTGGATAAATTTCCAGGACCTGATCAAATGTATCCTCGAACATTGTGGTATGTAAGGGAGGAAATTGCAAGACACCTTGCAGAAATATTTGCATCATCTATATCTATGGGTGAGGTGCCTAATGACTGGAGGGTGACGAATGTTGTACCTTTGTTTAGGAAAGGTTGTAAGGAGAAACCAGGGAACTATAGATCTGTGAGTCTGACGTTGGTTTGTGGGTAAATTGTTGGGGGTGATTATAAAGGAGGGGATTTATGGACATTTAGAGAGACAGAAATTGATTAGGGATAGTCAGCATGGTTTAGTGCAAGGAAAATCGTGTCTCATAATTTTGATTGAGTTCTTTGTGGAAGTTACCAAAAAGGTTGATGATGGCAGAGCATTAGATGTTGTTTATTTGGATTTTAGTAAAGCCTTTGACAAGATTCCACATGGTAGACTAATTAGTAAAGTTAGGTCACAGGGGATTCAGGGTGAGCTTGCCAATTGGATACATAACTGGCTTAACGGCAGGAGACAGAGAGTGGTGGTGGAGGGTTGCTTTTTAGACTGGAGGTCTGTGACCAGAGGTGTTCCACAGGGATCGGTTCTGGGTCCTCTTTTGTTTGTCATTTATATGAATGATTTGGATGAGAATATAGAAGGCATGGTTTGTAAGTTTGCGGATGGCACCAAAATTGGTGGCTTAGTAAACAGTGAAGAAGGTTATCTCAGATTACAAAGGGCACTTGATCAAATGAGTCAATGAGTTGAAAAATGGCACATGGAGTTAAATCTAGATAAATGCGAGGTATTGCGTTTTGATACAACAAACAAGGGTAGGGCTTGTACAATAAATGGTAGGGCCTTGGGCAGTGACATAGAACAGAGGGACCTGGGGGTGCAGGTACATAATTCTTTAAAATTTGCATCACATATAGACAGGATGGTTAAAAAGGCGTTTATCACGCTTGCCTTCATTGCTCAAACCTTTGAGTATAGGAGTTGGGATATTATGTTGAGGTGGTACAAGACATTGGTGAGGCCTCTTCTGGAATACTGTGTCCACTTCTGGTCATCCAGTTATAGGAAGGACATTATTAAGCTGGAGAGGGTTCAGAAGAGATTTACCAGGATGTTGCCGGATTTGGAAGGTTTGAGTTGTAAGGAAAGGTTGAGACATTTTTCACTGGAGCATAGAAGTTTGAGGGGTGACCTGATAGAAGTTTATAAAATAATGAGAAGTATCGATAGAGTTGATGGTAGTTGACTTTTCCCTAAGATGGGGAAGTTCACAACTAGGGGGCACATTATTTAAGGTGAGAGGAGAGATTAAAAAAGAAATGAGGGTCAAATTTTTTTACACAGAGGGTGATTCGCATGTGGAATGAACTTCCTAAAGAAGTGGTGGATGTGGCTACAATGTTTAGAAGACATTTGAATAGATACATGGATAGGAAAGGTTTGGAGAGATATGGGCCAGGCTTAGTTTGGGATTATGCTCAGCATGGACTGGTTGGACCGAAGGGTCTGTTTCCGTGCTGTATGACTCTATGACTCCTCCAGAGCCGCCTCCTCCTCCTCCAGAATTTTTCCACCTCCTACAGAACTTTGTTTTCCTCGAGAACTCTCCCCGACCCCACTTCCAGGATCTCTGCATTCCTCCAGTTCTGTCTTCTTGATTGGTCCTTATTTTGATCACTTCACCATTGGTGGGAGTGCCCTCAGCAACCTTGATCTTTCAGATTCTTATCGTGACCTCTCGTGGCTGCTGGGAGGGGAGGGAAGGGCAATGGGGTGTGTGCAGCGAGAGGAGTGGGGGATTAGGTGTGGGAGGTAGATGATGAAGAGGAAAGTTTGGAGGCACGCTGGAAGCTTCCCAAGCTGACAATGGCTAACTCCATGAGGAATAGCTCAAACCGAATTTTCCAAAAAGTCTTCACTTTTCTTCAGTGAAGGATTCCTCCCCAGTGTTGCTGACAGGGTCTTTGACTGCGAGCATTCTATTTCATCCACTTTCCTTCCTCCCACTACTTCCCAGGCAATGGGGCAGACGCAAGGTCTTTGTCATTGACAAATGGTCACTCCTCCACAGATCAATCAGCTACTCATTGCTGGACAAATCTCCCTTCACAAACAGCCCCTGGTTCCAGCCCATCTACAGTAACCTCCCCCACAGCTTGAACAAGCAGCTGTGTAAACAGTACTGACAATGAGGGTCAGGTAACATCCTTCCAAAATATGTCATCATCCTTTCCCCAATCTTTGGTTTTCCCATTTCAGTCCATAATCAAAAATTCAGGTAAATAAAAACATTCAGTTGTGAGTGAATGATCTGACTCTCAGGTAGAGCAATTCACTCAGCTCACTGCCCAGATTTCCCCTCCAAGCCCCTGCAAAACCTTTTCTCTTCACATAATGAACAATTGCTTCTTGAAGTCACTCGCGTGAACCTGCCTCCCCCACACTCTCAGACAGTACATTCCCCTACCTACTTGAGTGAACCTGCCTCCCCCACACTCTCAGACAGTACATTCCCCTACCCACTTGCGTGAACCTGCCTCCCCCACACTCTCAGACAGTACATTCCAAACCCTAACCAGTTGCTGCAGGGTAAATACATCTCTGACCTGTTGTCTTCCATTGTTTTGGCTCCAATCTGGCTCCCGTTTTTCACCATTGGGAGCATTTTCCCCCTGTGTCATATGTCCCTTCTGATCCATTCTCCCCTCTCCTTCCTCCATTTCTCCAAGTCTCAGTCTCTCTGAGCTTATCAGCCAATGGACCCCTCATTCCTGTATGGAACATTACCAAATGTCACAGCATATATTCCAGGAGGAATGACCTCTCCCTGAACTCTCACCATGCCTTTTAAATGTTGTAATTGTACCAGCCTCCACCACTTCCTCTGGCAGCTCATTCCATACACGCATCACCCTCTGTGTGAAAAAGTTGCCCCTTAGGTCCCTTTTAAATCTTTCCCCTCTCACCTTAAACCTACGGCCTCCAGTTTTCGACTCCCCCACCCTGGGGAAAAGACCTTAACTAATCACCCTATCCGTGCCCCTCATGATATTATAAATCTCTATAAGGTCACCCTTCAGCTCCGACACTCCAGGGAAAATAGCCCCAGACTATTCAGTCTCTCCCTGTAGCTCAAACCCTCCAACCCTGGCAACATCCTTGTAAATCTTTTCTGAAACCTTTCAAGTTTCACAACATCCTTCCTATAGCAGGGAGACCAGAATTGAATGCAGTATTCCAAAAGTAGTCTAACCAGTGTCCTGTACAGCTGCAACATGGTCTCCCAACTGTACTGAGGGAGAGCCGCACTGTCGGAGGGTCAGCGCTGAGGGAGCGCCGCACTGTCGGA